AGGTTTTCAGATTTGTGGTGGCATAGGTGTAAGTACAAAAAAAACTGATTACAATTATTATTATTTTTATGATGTAGCCTGATCCATTAGCTTCGGATGCTAATGCCATTAAAACAGATACACTCAAATTAGATAAAAATGTATGTATATTAGTAATTAAAACATATATCTGTTTTTACTATTGATAATATATAGGTGGATTGTGTAATATCAGCTCTTGATTTACATATTAGTTATATTAAAATTCTTAAAGCAGCAACTTATCTTAATCGACCAAATGTTCTTTTCTTAGCTACAAATGATGATGCAAGTCTTCCACAAAGCGATGAAATTGTTATGCCTGGTAGATATTTTGAAACTAAAAAAAACTATAATTCTTATTTATGAATTTAGGTGCGGGTGCGGTTTTAGCTTCTGTTGCAGCAGCTTCATGTCGTGCGCCAACAATACTTGGTAAACCTCATGCACCAATGTTTGATGCTATTCGTTTAGCATTTCCAGATGTTGATCCTAAACGAACAGTCATGATTGGTGATCGGTAAAAACAAAAGATGATGATCTTTTTTCAAAGAATACATATATATATTTATAATTCATTTATAGTGTTGAAACTGACATTGCTTTTGGTAATCGACAAGGTGCAACAACATTACTTGTGTTTAGTGGAGCAACAAGCGAGAAAAGTTTAAATAATCTTAAACAAAGTGTTGAAAAGAAAACCGCAGAACAAGATAATTTACCAAATTTTTGTGTTAAAGATGTTGGACAGTTTTTACAATTTCTTCAATCTACCGAAAAAAAATAGATTGTAATCACGATATTCCCATCCCATATATTAAGTAATATAAGTTAAATTAATAAAAGAAAAGATTATTTAGTTAATTATCGATTTGTTGTATCTATTTATTTTATCATTCAATGAGTTATATCAATAGTTGATGATCATTGATGTAAAACGATATTCTCTAATTTTTTAAAAATAAGTCAAGCGTACTTCATTCAATAGACAGTAAACTATTATATTCATTATATAAAGATATTTTATGATTGTTTTATAGAGTCTTCACTTAGTTTATATTGTATCGCAAATGTAAGATTTAGATTAAAAAAATCTATTTAAATGTTTTTATAGATTTTCTTTCACATTTTCACATATAGAATTAGTACACTAACATTCTAATAGTCATTAATTTTTCTTCTGAACAGAAGGGAAAAACAGAGTTTATATCTGTTGTCTTTTTCTAATGACTGCGAATATAGCATCAGTTTACTATTTTAAAAAACTGATCTTACTCAATAGATAATGTGTAATACATCAAAAATTACTACGTTTTCCAAGAGTCGTCAGTCTTACAGTTATATTTTATGATCAATATTTACTAGTACGTAATGAAATATGCTTATGGTTATATGAATTGCATATTTGTATTCTAAAATCCTCGCCTAAACTCTAATGGGAAATAGATAATAAAAGGCACTTACGATAGTCCTATACATACTATCAAATAGGACCTAACTCTATTTCATATAAGTCATTTTAGACACATGCCTTTATACATAAATGACAGGAGAGATCATTTTAAATAAGAAGCAATTTTTATATGAATTTACATAGAAGATAACAGCAAAGAGAACTTTCTGATGAAAATTATAAAAAATAATAAATAATGATCAAGATAAAACATATTATAAACAAGTTTATTTTCTTCGTTAAGAAAAAGTATATGGTATTTGTAATATTATTTTAATACATCCATCTATGTACCATTATCATATGATATTGAGATCCAAGTTTTTGTCAAAGCTTTTCACCTAAAAAAGCTATCGCTTTCATTGTGCTGTAGCTTCCTCTAACTTGCAACTTTAATGTCTGAAAAAAGTATTATATATCATGCCTCACTTGAATGCAAACGCAAAAAATAGATTAGAAATAAGTAAGTCTGTTTATTAGAATCTTTATAACACTAGCTAGTTAATTGTACCTAAGTCGTTTTCAGTGACAATGAGCTGTATCGAGAATGGGGCGTAGAGTGTGGGCACGAATTCAGATAGACAGATCTATACCCACATGAAGACCCACAGTCACTCCTAAATATTAGTGTTGATCGTGTTTGTACAGATGATTTCACCGGAAATAGATTCGGAGCTCGAGGTGTGAGGATGTGGATAGTTGGATGTATGCACGTGTTCACTTTCTCGTCACCCAGTCCAACAGACCTATCGACGCTCATTCGCCGACCTCCCCCTCATGCCTCCATGCTTCCGATTTTATTCAATGGATTACATTTTAATGAAGAGAAATAACTTTTTAGTTATTATTCAACAACAAGAAAAAAAGGAACGGATTATATTTTAATAAAGAGAAATAACTTTTTAGTTATTATTCAACTACAAAAAAATGGAACGGATTATATTTTAATAAAGAGAAATAACTTTTTAGTTATTATTCAACTACAAAAAAATGGAATGGATTACATTTTAATAAAGAGAAATAGCTTCTTAATTATTATCAGATTACTTAAAAATGTGCGACAATGTGATAATGAATGGGAAGTAATCCTCCCATGGCACAAAATTGTCTATGAATTCCACGAGTAAAAGCCGCTTGCAAAGATATGCATCACCAGCTCGAACCATGTACTGAACAATACCTGAGTTAAATTCACCGTTGACACCTTCTACTGGGTAATATGCTTCAGGATGCCATTGAATACCCATTACAGGTGCACCGTGGATGGTTTCGAATGCTTCGATACTGTTGTTTGTCGGACGCATTCGATGACTCTGTCGACTACGCGGAGCAATTTTTGCGTCTTGTACTGCTGTAGCACTCACTATTAATGCATCTGGAACAGGACCATGTGGTGCATCCCAGTGAACGCTGTTGACCATAAATTGTATATTTTGTACCGGATATATAATTTGACTTAACATGGTGTTTTCTTTTATATCAATTCGATGAATCTGCATATTGTAAGCAACATCACCATCTATTTTAATGGACGGTGTTTTTGAATAGGAATGATCAGTAACTGGTACAACTCTTCCTCCAAAGAATCTCCAGAGAATCCAACATCCACCACAAACCGCCAATATCGGTTGTCCCCTTAGTCGAGCAAGTTGGAACAGATCTTCTTCAAATTCATTTCGATCCATAAGCCCCTGTGTTTCTTCTGCATTACGTGGGTGCCCAGGAATAAATAATAAACCAGAGTCAGCAATTGATGCTTCCTGAGGTATATGATTGAGGACACCGTTCAATGTCAAACTATGATGAGTTCTGCCAATAAAAGCAATGAAGCGATTCGTATTCACGGTTGGATTTCGAATTAGTACCGTGTTATGTTGTGTAATATTTCGGATGACATAGTGGTCGAAGAAAGCACCGTGCATCGTGTTGCCTTGATCATTTCTATATGAAATGATTACTGGTGCTGTCAATGTACGTGTTCGCCATTGGTTAACCAAAGCTGCGACAGCAGTTCTACTTTTCTATAGAAATACAAAAATATTAAAAAAACCAGCTATACAATTACGAGTCTATCTACATAAGTCACAACCAATGTTCAGAAGTGTGCTCAATTTGTGAAACGTTATACAGGAAATTACTTTACAAACGTTAGCGCATGTTTTTTCAAAAAGTATTAGTCTTGATTTTCGTAAGCTTTTTACGAACAACCCTTAACACGAAGACCCTTGACAGAGGAGTTTCAATAGCGGCATATTCGCCACCTGTATACAGGGATTCAATATCCCTTCGGTAAACGATTCTATCCCTCTGTGAATTTTTGATCGAAAAACAACAGGTTTTATATTTATCCACTGTGAGATTATATGTTTGCGGCATTAAAGAACATGAGACTTTGCACGACAGGAGAAATAAAAACCTTTTTAGCAATTGTTGTGAGCGTAGTCGTCTTCAAAGATAAAAATATTCGAAATAGAGATGTCTGGGACCAATTATAAAAGTTTATAAGACTGACATCAAACTCCACTTATAAATATTGGGTGTGGCTATAATATTGACTTTTTACTCACATCCACACTCTCTTCGCAGGCCTTTGAGACCTTATTAAGTTCGTGTTACCAAATTTTCGACCCATTTTTAGGTATTTACCAAAAAACTAAATATTATCATTATGACTCAAATTTTATTCATAGAAAAGTCTCATGATCTTTAAAATATTCTGAGAGATTTTGCCTAAAAGAATGTTCCTCTGCCGAGATATTGCATTTTCAAAATTGTTCGTTAGCTACAGATGCGTCACAAAAATCGAGTTTACTTTAAAATATAATACAACGACATAAGAACATGATTTTTGGCTCCAACTGTCAACATGTTCTGAGAAGCACTATCCTTAGAGCTAATAATGTAACGTAATGTTCATTATTTCACATTATCAGACACATTAATATATTCCTCTACAAGCAAAACTTTAGATTGAAATGACGTTATTTCATTTGTCAGTAAAAATCTCGAAAAGCAGACTCTTGAGTAAATTGTCTTAACTAAGTTTCGAAAGGCCTACGAACAGAAACTATGGAAGGAATGTTACCAGTTACGTTTTCTGGATAACGCTTTCAAAAGCGACATCATTCTTTTTACTATATCGATATCATCGATACATAGTTTAATAAAGCTACTAGTTACCTTTTAATGCAACTGATTGGTAACAGTAATTTCCTATCCCTGAGACGAGCCACTTCAGTCTTTTTTTGGGTGAACTCCTTGAAAACTATTGGCAGTTCTACGATGAACTCAAATGATGAGTAACACTTGACGTAATTTCCTCGTGCATGTCACTTTCAGAAAGTATTCTTCCATCTTATGAGTTGAAAACATAGACATAAAGTGATTATGCTTATACTTATGCTTATTATTCAAACTTCCACTTAATATACTCGAGCAACATCACCAAAGTAATCCAATGACTTACCTTTGGCTTTTCTGACGCTTTTAACTCACTGCTTTTATTAACGATTGCGACGATCTTCTAGAGTAAAAGACAGAATTATGTTTATATTTTATGAAGATAGAGGAAGATTAAACCATACATACCTTTTCTTCGCCATCTGTACTGCTTAATGTGAACAACTCCTCATTTTTATCCAGTGTTAGTTCGGATAAATCATTGTTCACCTAAACAAAGAAAAAATAGCGAGTGAGATTAACATATGCGTTTTTTTACTATTTATTACCTGGTCAACCACTTCGTTCCAGGTGGTATGTTGAATATCAGAACGACTAGATGCTACCTCCTAAAATTACAACAACGCGTCTATTTTTAATTTTCACAGATGTCAGAAACTTTTTTGAGGGGAAGCTTACTTACTCTGTATCAAACTACACAAAAAAAGGGCGGATAAATAAATCCTTATAAAAGTTCATGAAACTGTAACATACACTACTTGTTTTGAAGTTTCGCCTTAAAGAAAATTGACTCTCCAAGTTACAGCATTTTTAAATTTCTATTATTTATCTATCGAATCTTGAAAGTTTAGAAGAGAAGGTGGGTATGGGTGTAGATAAGAATCTCGGTGTGGATATCTGTGTGACTTATATTTTTATAGGATATATACCGACACTCATTCATCCGCATCCTCGCTCACCCCCACCCGTCTAACCCTCAGTATTTTGGTATGAATATATCTTTCTTTCGACAATATGTATTAATGGACTCGTCTCTTTTTTTGCGAGAATAGTAAAACTAATCAGATACTCAATCAGAATCTACACTAGACATATTTTTGTTGCTTATGAGTTTTACATTTTGACACTACCGAAACAACTGACCTGTTTAACGCTTTGATGAAACCTTTTTTTCACTTGTTCGTCCTTGTTTGATAGATAATCGCCGCGTTCAAATATAGCTGTACGATTTTGAGTAAATAGATTTTGTAAGTATATTGGTTCAAAATGAGTCCTATTCCAGGTAACATAGGCATAACGAGTGGCATTTGATGGCCCAATTGGAATGATACGACCGGTAGTAAGATTGAGAACACGGACTTCTATTTGATAAGCCTCTGCAAACACACCAATTTCAATAGCACCACCCCAACTATTAGTATTTCGAATCCATTGTACATAGTCTTCGGGTGGTCTCCCGAGCACAGAACCAGTGTATATATCTGGTTGTTCTTCAATAATATGAGCAATTTGGTGTCGCAGTTGTAAATTGGCGTTGTCAGCATTGTGAACATCAAAATTTCCGTCATTGATCAAAAAATTTAGTGCATTAAATAAGCACGAACCGTCACCTGGAACTTGTTGTCGTCGTAATATGAATTGTACAGAATGTTCACCGGAAGCCGTTGGAATATCATCATTCTTCTCGTTCATTATAGTTGGTATTTGTCGATCTGCAATATACGACCATTTATATAAGATAATATAGAAACTCCGACTGAAACGATAGTTTAACACAAATTCATTCTTCGTCAGAATGGAAGTTTTAATTTTAATCAAGTAAAAGAAGATCAAAAAGGAAACTAATTAAACTATAAACTTTTTCATTTTACAATAGTTCTAACAAGTATCGTTTGAATTGTAAGTCAATTTATTTCATATTTAGACATCTACCCCTTTTCGAATGACATTTGGTGGAGCACATAGCATTTTATTTTTTGCATACATGTCTTTGATGCTAAACTCGAACAGAACAACATTTTTTTACTTAAACTTATTTGCCAATACGCGCTTTTAACTAATACATTTGGATCTCGACAATTTGAACTTAAAGCATACTTGACAACTGAATTAAACAACGGCGATATTGAAAATTTAAAACCAGTTATTATTAATGAACATGCAAACTTTTATTTACGTCTCATTTGTAGTGGCTTAGTTCTATGTATTATTTTTAATGGTTTGTAAATTCCCTTCTTCTTGGTATCAATATGTCGGGTATGTCTAATATATATTTCTTCATGCTTTGCTTTTTTTTATTTTTATTTATTATTTTTTCTCAACGTATGGTATCATTATTTTAATTCTTATTATCCTTATTTTTCTGCTTTTATATTTGAACATCTTCTATACTATTAGGACCTAATAGACATTAGTCCGCGCGAAACAAAAGAAATATATTATATATATATAGAATACACAGTGTTTGTCATGCTATTTTACGAAAAAAGGAAAAGTCAAAAGTTGAAATTATGAATGAGCATAGCCAATGTTCCCAAAGCGAACGCACTTTGTATGTGTTGATTGTAGTTGTCACAGATTTGTAAGGTTACATCATGAAAGTTTTATTTTTATATCAACGGGGAAAAGCATAAGATTCTGCGTTATCTGACATAAAAATATAGTTGATAACTTCTACAATGGTTGAGTAATGAGCGGTATAAAACAAAAAAATTGAAAATTTTTGTTTTAGGGAAATGTACATAAAGCGAATGATTTAGCAAAAACTTACTCTTAAAGTGAGAACACCAATACAGAACAAGCAAAAAAGTGAGTAAATGAACAATTTATTCATTGTTGCCTAGAGATTCTAGCGAAAACCTTTACAAATTTATATCATTTCATTCGCCATCTTAACCTGTATCATATTCTAGTCGTTCAGTTCAAATGATGCTAATTTCAATGTTTAACTAAACTTAGAAAATCATCTCCTGCGTTCGCTTAAGATGCATTGGACATAAAGCGAACAACCAGTAAAAATATGTATGTAAAGGGAATGCACCAGTTATTTTAGCTGAAAACAGTTAGTTTTCAGCATTTTTTCAGTTACTAACGATCAATAATAAAATTGATATACTATCCAGAACAAATTTGTTCAGAATTGTCGGGGCTATTACATACTAATGGTTCATTTATAATATATGAACTATGTTGTTATAGTATTGTTTTTGTTCCATTTGAGTATTTACCAAGATAAAAAAAATAGAAATAACAATAAAAAAAGTTTATCAAAGATATTTGACAAGAAGCATTATATATTGTGAAGCACCATTCAAATTCATATCTGTCGACACGCCGATAATAAAAATTGATGAAAAGATATTTTTTCGGTGATCCTGAAGTCTCTACCAGTGTCACCCATGAGACTGAAAAATCAAAGACATTTCTTCGAGAAAAAATTATCTTATTTTACTTATAATTTATCGTGATTCGGAATATGTAGTGTTTCTTGTCAAATATCTTTAATAAACTTTTTTTTATTGTTATTTCTATTTTTTTTATTTTGGTAAATACTCAAATGGAACAAAAACAATACTGTAACAACATAGTTCATCTATTATAAATGAGCCATTAGTATCCCAGGTCGATCATTACGAACTTCGTAGACTATTGAATACGACCGTATCCGGAAAAAATACGACCATATACGAGCGTATTTCACCGTTTTTTGCCGTATTACCGGTGACCGTATTACGATCGTATGTCTCCGTACCGTATACGGAAAAGTATGATCGTTTACGGAGAAAAACGGTCGTAAAAGATCGTACTTTTCCGTTTACGGCACTGAGACATACGATCGTAATACGGCAAAATACGGTCGTGCGCGGTCGTATTTCTCCGTATACGATCGTTTACGATCGCACTTGTTTGACCTGGGTATATGTAATAGCCCTGACAATTCTGAACAAATTTGTTGTGGATAGTATATCAATTTTGTTATTGATCGTTCGTAAATGAAAAAATGCTAAAAACTAATTGTTTCCAGCTAAAATACCTGGTGTGTTCGCTTCAGGAACATTGGTTACACTCATTCATTAATAGAACTTTAACTTTTCGTTTTTCCTAAATCTACATGGCACGCACTATGTGTGTACTATTTATATAATATATTTATTTTTGTTTCGTACAAATTGATGACCATTAGGTCTTAATAGCATAGAAGATGTTCAAATACAACAGAAGAAAAATAAGCAAAATACGAAGTGAAATAATAACACTAGGCGTTGAGAAAAAATTAAAAATAAAAAAAAAGCAAAGCATAAAGAAACATGTTAGACATTGAGAAAATATAAAAATTAAAAAAAAGCAAAGCATAAAGAAGCATATGTTAGACGTTGAGCAAATATAAAAAATAAAAAAAAGCAAAGCATAAACAAATATATACCAGACATACCGTATACATAGATATCAACAAAAAGAGAATACTAGATCAAAACAAAAGGCACCACAAATGCCACGTGAATATAGCTTCGTATGTTCATTAATAATAACTGGTTTTTTAATTATCGATATTCACATCGTCTAATTCAATTGACAAGTATGCTTTAAATTCACAAATTGTCGGGCTTCAAATGGGTTTGGATCCAAAATGTGGAGCGAGAACTTATACATGTAAAAAAGACAAAGTTATCTGCTCCACCAAATGTTATTCGAAGAAAGGTGGATGCTTAAAGACGAAATAAATTAACTTAAAATCCATACGATACTTGTTCGAACTATTACAAAATAAAAAAACTTATATTTTAACTCATTTTCTTTTTGATCTTCTTTTTTTTATAAAAGGCAAGCTTTTAATTTTACCTGATTGAAATTGAAACTTCACTTCTGCTCATAACATCTATACAGAAGAGGAAATAAGAATCTATTAGTACAATATAATAACCAATGAATCTTTAATATAAAATATAAATATAGATGTCATAAGAGAACGTGAGAGTTTTATTTAAAAAAGGATCCAAAAAGTGAAGCTTTATGTTGAGATCAACAATGGTACGTAATCGGGGTTTTCATTAACCTTGTTTGTATAGATTTAGAGTGTGAACACACCTCGATTTTGAGGGTGTGGGTGTGAGATGATAACAATACTCACATCCACAGACACACCTATCTCTATACTCTTAACCACACCTTTGCCCAGTCTATAAAAAAAATATCTCTTTTAAGCTCGCTTATTTATTATATTTAAATGTGTATACATACATATCTTAGAAACTTTTTACATATTATTAATAAGGAGAACGATTTATTTTCGATGTATATATATATTCTACAGATATTGTATTTTTCAAATATCTTGCTTTTGAATCTTATCATGATCAATATTTGTATTAGATATCATATTTAATTTTTCTTTATTATCATTCGTAATAATGGATTCATCTTCATCAATCAATACTGGATTAAATGCAATAGCACCTTTTGGAATAAATGTTGCAGCAAACATTACTATAACAGTAATTGTTAATGGTACAGCCGCTGTATAAATAAGTGCAGATTGAACAGTTCCACGTGTATTATAAACATAATCAATATGTCTACCAAGAAGTGGATTTGCAATTGAATAGATAATAATATATGTTGAATAAAGAAATGCCAT